GCGGAGCTGAGGCTGCAGCTGCAGCTCCACGTGGAACGAAGCCAGGATGGAGCTCCGGAACGCCGTGAGGATGGAGAAACAGAGCCCGTGCTTGGAGACAGAACCGCTGACACCTGGGAATGGGGAAATTATGGGATATGGGATATGGGATATGGGGATGGGATGGAGCTCCGGAACGCCGTGAGGATGGAGAAACACAGCCCGTGCTTGGAGACGGAACCGCTGACACCTGGGAATGGGGAAATTATGGGATATGGGATATGGGACGTGGGATATGGGATATGGGATGGAGCTCCGGAACGCCGTGAGGATTGAGAAACAGAGCGTGTGCTTGGAGACGGAACCACTGACACCTGGGAATGGGGAAATTATGGGATATGGGATATGGGAATGGGATATGGGACATGGGATATGGGATGGGGATATGGGATATGGGAATGGGATATGGGATGGAGCTCCGGAACGCCGTGAGGATGGAGAAACACAGCCCGTGCTTGGAGACGGAACCGTTGACACCTGGGAATGGGGGAATTATGGGATATGGGATATGGGAATGGGATATGGGATGGGGATTATGGGATATGGGATGGAGCTCCCGAACACCGTGAGGATGGAGAAACACAGCCCATGCTTGGAGAGCGTCCCAAGGAAAACTGCTGAATTCCCAAAGAAACCATTTAATTTCCAAATTAATTGCCTCATTCCCAAATTATCTGTCTAATTCCCAGGGGAAACTGGTTAATTCCCAAGAAAACTATTTAATTCCCAAAATAACTGCCACATTCCCAAGGAAAACTATTGAATTCCCAAAGAAACCACGCAATTCCAAGAAAACTGGTTAATTCCCAAAAAAACCATTTAATTCCCAAGGAAAACTGTCGAAGAAAATGGCTCATTCCTGAATTTTCAGCCCAATTGCTAAAGAAACCATTTAATTCCCAAGGAAAACGGCTCATTCCCAAAAAAACCACCTAATTCCCAAAATAACTGCCTCATTCCCAAATTATCTGTCTAATTCCCAGGGTAAACTGGTTAATTCCCAAGGAAATTATTTTAATTCCCAAAATAACTGCCTCATTCCCAAAAAACCCCATTTAATTCCCAAAAAAAAACATTTAATTCCCAAAGAAACCATTTAATTCCCAAGAAAAATGGCTCATTCCCAAAAAACCCCACCTAATTCCCAAATTAACTGCCTCATTCCCAAATGATCTAATTCCCAGGAAAACCACCAGATTCCCAAGAATTCCTGCAGATTCCCGAGCCAGGAATTCCCATTTTTCCTGCATTCCCCCCAAAAATTCCCAAAAAAATCGGGAATTTCCCCCAAAATCCAGCGGATCCCATTACCGGTGAGTTGGAAAACCCGGAGAAGGCTCTGGAGATCCCGGATTTTCCACTCCAGCACTTCCCGAGAACCGGGAAGAGGCGGATCCGACGGAATTCCCGCTTTTTCCAGCTGCTGAAAAATCCAGGAGAGGTGGTAAAAATTCCAGGAAAAATCCTGGAGTTGGAATTCCCGGAAAAAAAATCCGGGAATTGCAGCCTCACCGGTTTTTCCAGCTGCTCCAGTTTGTCCCGGAGCCGATCCCGCTGCAGCCGCAATTCCCGGATTTTGGATTTCAGGAATTGCGATTTCTCTTCCCGCTGCTCCTTCTCCTCCTGCTCCACGGCTTCACGGCGAGCTCGGAATTCCAGCATTTCCAAATGGGCCAGAATTCCTGGAAAATTCCGGGTGGGAATCCCGAAAATGGGG